ACTAAACTATAGAAGCAGGCCAAACGATCACAAACAGTAATACACACCCATTCGTTGGCCCGTTCCGTTGGTTCCTGTATGTATGCAAAGCCAAGGGTATTATTCGCAATGTGATGAAATATGATAGTGATGCGGTCACGCTGCCAGTTGATTGCTCCCGCTCTTCAAACTGGTGCTATTATTATTGCCAGGCGTTTCAAGCGTAACAGAACAGTAAATTAGAGAAGAACTGCTTCATCATCGTTGTCAACGTACGCTTCCAGCATCATGAGTATAATTTCTTGTTGATACGGTGGAACCGCGTTCGTTAATAAAATAGCGTGTGCTTTTGATTATTGACAATGAACGCAAACTTGTTTGGGACTGCGCTGTTCTCTTCGATATGAAGTTAGGCAGATTTTTTTAAGTGCTTCTCGTCCTCATGAGAATTGTTTAATTTGAGGCGGTTCCTTTGAAGGCTACATTTCTCTTCTAATTAGGTTTTAGTTAACAACACCTTTGATGTGGTTAGTGCGGTTTCACTGCGAAAGGTTCTAGTTGAAAAAAAATCCAGTAACCTTGTCAGTGTCCCCTTCAAACGAAAATTCACTTTCAACTATAAATTATGGTAAAAACAAGCTCCGTTGCATTTACACATAACACTGGCATTCCTTTGGATAAGCAGTAAACATCGAAACGCCCCTCTAGAATGATAGATTATATACGATAAACTGTTCACAAGACAGCATCAATTAATATCCGCCATCCAATGGATGCTGATATCAGTGGAACATTCGGTCATCGAATACAATTCATTTTGCGTAAAAAAAAGTTTCAGTTTGGAGAGGTTTTAGACACTCCATATCAATTTAAAAAAGAATATGGATCGTGCATATTCGCCACAACCCTTACGACTTAGGATGCCTAGAAAGGATTGAAATCAAATTTGGCTGCGCTATTGAACTTGCGGTTTCTTGAACGAGATGGAAGGGGGTAATTGTTGTTAGCATCGAGTATTCCCCTTTGTATTTGGTCGACAGATGAACTTAAATTAAACTTTAAACAAGACGTTAGCAGCAGAACTTCAAGTTAAGTTGCTTTCATTTAAAAAGTCTTGGCTACATAATGAAAGCACAATATGATATCAGACTTCTGTTTGATAGAAACTGCAAACTTTAATATCATTTTGTTAACCTACTTTGCTCGGGTACTTATCCCTGTTCATGAAATAAATTGCGATCCACACACTTAGAAATTATCGCCGACTTCGGTTATATTTACCGAAATTTCAACAGCTGATCTGTTCGGTAAAATTTATGCAGTTCTGTTTAATTGTTATAAAGCTACAAATAAACGAAAACTCAACGTCCGAGATGTTCATTTGAATAAGGTCAAACGTGTTTTGGAACTATTCTTGAGTCAAATAGGCTTCAAAGGGTCAAAGTTTTACCGAACGATTATCAGTTTAAATTTCAACATGTTTACCTACTAAATATGAAATATGGATATTTTTCACAAATTTTGAACGTAAACATTTTTTTTATTACGTCTTTCGGCAACATAATGGGGGTGTAATTAAAAAAAACAAAATCGACCACGTTACGAGAAGTGGTCAGGTTTTGACCACTTATAACTCTGTCAATAGCGGATGGATTTTAGTTCTAAACAAGCCAATCGATTGGAAATTATTCTACAAATCTGCCAAAATGAACCGTTTATCAATTTTCAATAGGTCACAGAAATGTTCAACTATTGCAATGGTGATCACAATTATCACCAATTGCCTGGAAAAAGTGCTTTCCCTAACACAGATTTCAAAATCGAATTCCATCCGGTCTCGCCAGCCGGTGCTTATTCAATCACCGTGTGTGGTGGTGCTTGGTCGGTCGTCATCATCAGCAGCAATGCTTTCGGCGTGTGGCGTTGAACATTGTTCTCCAGTACAAAACGAAAGGCTGCCCGCAAACTGCGAGCTGCAGCCCACATGAGCTTCCATTCATCGAAGAAGGAGGAAGAAGCCGCACCCTACTGATCGGATATAGTAGCTCTTCATGAGTCGCTGTAGGCCATCTACGCCAAGCGCATCACCCTCGTTCCAAACAACATACAGCTCGCCAGCCTCATCCGTGTTGAACACCCTAATAGCTCAGCATTACTCAACCATCACGACAAAACGGTCATTTTCAGGACCACCATAAAGTATTATTGTTTAAGAGTTAATTTTCATTGAACGTTCGCTCGCCTTGCTGCCAGCCACATCATCCCCATGTACCCAGCAACTTCTCGCAATGGCAATGACACTGATGAAGACTGCCGATTGTAGTCGAAATACGTGTCTGTCATGGATACCAAAATTAATTAAGTGGAATTAAATGGAAGATAACCTTTTTTGCTGTTTTATTTAAGCATTCCGCTAACAACCCAATTTCATTACTTCATTCTCACAATGACCGAATGCCACATGACCTTGTCAATTAACCAGAAACACTTCGAATTAAGGTAAGGTTTTCTCCAAGACGCTAGAAAAAAAGTAAAAAGATGTCAAATTTATATGATTGATCGCAAATATATCGCGATTGGAAAGTTTTGAAAAATTCCGTGCACGAAAATGCGTAATTTTGTCATTAGAAAACGAGGCGTTCCCGTGATGGGAAAAAGTGATTTCCCTAACACAGTCGCCGAATATTGATACCAAGCACTGAGCATGCCAGACGGTACCTATCTTTATGCCTTTTCACTGATAACGAGTTGAGAAATCAATTTAATATTTACTATACTTTTGCTGTCACATCAAAACTGCCTTTTGTAATCCTACGTTAAATCTCACAACCGTAGATACAACCTCTTATTTTTTTAATTCCAGGAGAGTTCTGACTTTTTTTTACCCACACATCAAAAAAAAAATTTATATCGATTTATAACATAATTTATAATTCATAACATAATTCAAGCTGATGTATGAAATAATGATAGGGTTAAATGTCTCTAATGTTGGCTTATGGATCTAAGATTGGGCCCATAGCTAAAAATTTGCTATTTATCAATTTTATAGATATTTTGGTTGCTATTGAAAATTTAGTCTATTGCTGAATTTATGTATGGGCTCAGCTAGGCCGACATTACCTGCATTTCCCATAATAACAATATGATGAACAACGGATGTAAAGCGGTTGGTCCCGGCCCATGTGTGTTGTTGAATGGGTGCGACATCCTACGCAGGTGTGGAAGCTGCCTTCCTGCACATTCGATTGCCGTCAATGGATGGCAATCGATGGAATGAAGAAGAAGGATGTAATTTTGTTCGCAAAATCGATGCATATCGTACAACGTAATATTACACAACCAGCGGAATGAGCTCTGTGCCGCTGTTGGATGTAATATTCAACAACTTTTTTTTGTGTAGTTCTTTTTTTTTAGAAGGCTTAGTCGCGTTAGTTTTACGGAGCCGATAATTTATTGTTCTTTGTTTGTAACAACAATCACTTATTTCTATGTCTAATAGGAGTTGAGCCGAATTCTCGTGGCGTACCCGAGGTTAAAGGGGTACATTGTCGAAGGATAGGGTCAAGGGAGGTGCTTGAGGTGGGATTTCTTTGTCTCATCAGAGCGTTGTCGCCAGTATGAAGAGTTCTGTCTTGAATGCCACACACATTTTGGGGAGAAATCTAAGGAATTTTTGAGGAGTACCGCATGTTAATTCTTAGTAGACTCTCAAAGTTAGTAGAATTCAAAGGGAAGGAGTTGAATTTTGAAATGAATTCAATGAAAAATCTGGGAATAATTCCAAGGGATTTAGTCTAGTGGAGAATTGCTAGGCAATAGTGCAAGAAATATTAATTATTTATTGAGTGTTCTGCAGAAGATTTCCAAGAGTATGTGGAGAAAATTATAAGGGAATACCAGAAATTTGTTTTACAAGAACTCTGATAGTATTCTGATATGATTCTAAGGAAATCTTCAGAAATAACTGAATAAATCCTGATGATTCCAAAATAGAATGTTTTTCGAGATCCTGGATACATAAAAAATCAAGATCCATGCTTTGGGGAAAAGGTTTATTTCAATAAATTAATACAGTTTGAGACTTGCCCGAGTAGCACATTTCCGTCACAATAAGTTGCAGCAACTTGTTTATGACTGATATAAGTTGTAAAGAAGTTGCCAAAACCGATTTGTGACAAGCGTGCTACTAGGGTGGCCTGCTTATAAAATTTAATGATCGTGAATGAAGAAAACAATTCAAGATTCAGGGAGTTTATTTTAAAATATTCCGAACATGTTTTTAAGATTGAGAACATGAAATCAATCATTTCATTTTGTCAATACTTGCACTTTGAAAATTTTCAAGATCTTAAAGAGCTTTTTTTTATATATTATTATATAGACTTACTTAAATTAAGTAAATGTTAAACTTCAACTTTTTATGGTTTTGATTGTAAAGCTGTTCTCTTAAAACTGATTACCATGTCTTAAAAACTTTTGCCGCAGTCAAGTTGCTGTTTTTTTTCTATAAAAATTACATTTTTTTTAGAGCATTAAAAGTTTAGCCTAGCTAAAAACCTTCTAAATAAAGAAGAAGAAAAAACGCACTAAAAAACAGCTTTTCCCTGGAAAAGTTCTGGAAAAATCAAGGAATTTTATTTAGCAAAATGAGTAGATACCCACCCATAAAATAGTTCACACCAAACGATAATCCATATTTCCGGGGAAGTCGAAAGTAACTGCCGTGAACTTCCAACTGGAAGAAGCGTCTGCGGAAAACTTAAAAGAAACATCCGGGGAAACAAGTATCTTTATTCCCGGATTTTGCCCGTATTCCTTTGTTTTGATTCCTAGATGACTGAGCTTCGGTAGGTAGAATGCTAACCGGATATGCTCTAAATCTTTTGTTACAAATTTCTCGTTTGTTATTTTAGTTATTGAGACTTATCGCAAAATGGAACTGGCTGTTCGGTGCGTGTTGTCTATTGTCAATATCCCTTCCCCCTTTATCTCAAGACATCGTCTATGAATTTACTTACTGTTCCAATCGATCCCCGAGCGCTTCCGATTTATCCACATCCAGCGGTCGAAACAAATCTTGCAACTCCAGCACTTTGGTGTAACCTTTCTTGAATAAATCTATAGTCCACCAAAAGGTCAGTATCGACAGGACGTTGGCACTTTCCCGGGGATTTGCAGCAAGTTTTCTTCTAATCGACTCCATTCTCGCATTGCTCAATCACTGCTGCACTCCACTTCCGAAATTCCGCTTCTCTTTTTCACTGAATTTCTTCTCACAGCACTTGAATTTTCACGAGCACGCACGCACACTGGATGAAACAGATAGGAGGCAGTTGATTAGGGAGAACTCGCGGAATACCGAAAACAGCACTTCACTTCTCGAGTTTCACAACCGGAATGATAAGGCACCCGGACGACGGTCGATAGGTAGGCATGTCTCCGTGTAGATGCGATTTGATATTTGCGCGATGTAATGCCCACTCGACTGTAGTAGGATTCTATGTATACCGCTTCGTCACTAGAGTAAATATTGTATTTGCACTGTTCGCCGGTTGATATCTTATCTCCAAATGTGTGGTACACCTCAAATGCTGAAATGCATTTTTTATTTCGTCATATGGCAATAACTAACCGGTCAGAAACATGGATTGGATTTCACGTGCGTAAAGGTGGTATGCTACTGGATGATCGTAAAACGTAGCGATAAAGGTCAAGGTATAATCTATTGACAATCGATATGATATCAGTTGTCAATTGTACGCAGAGTCTTTCGAGCGCTACATCATCGAGATTGCTTATCATGTGAGCCTAATGGAGGTATAGCTCAGAAATGACAATCACTGTTTGAGTGTATCATTTTGTAGCTATGAAGAGCCATAAATAAAATAAAATAAATTGTTATATTTAAACTATGACACTGAATAGCAGGAACAAATAAGGTAACACTATCGCTCAAGATGCGGCTATCAGTCTTCCGAATTAAACTGGTATTAAGTCGCACGTGTAAGCCGCTATTGGGTCGTTGACATTCGTTGGTAAATATAATGGATCCGTGATTGCATTAGCTTAACCTGATTCTCATGCTTCTTTGAGAGAATCTTATTGGTTGATAACCGGTATTTGAAACAGTGAACTCTTCCTAACTCGACAGCGAAAGGACTATATAGTAAACGCCAGTGCATACTGCATACGGATTTGATAAGTACGTTGCGGAAATCTATTTTCTAGCGTTCAAATTTTCCGCATATGCTTGGTAACTCGAGGGGTAGTTTTCAGCGAGCACACTGACCACGCAACTTTGACTTTGCCCGTCTCCAACAGCTTATTCACTGCACCCGTCGAAAGTCGTATCGCTGCCGTCTGCGTGACACCGTACGCCTTCCTCTTCCGGATTTTCATCGGTACATCTCCCAGATCGCAATGTACCTACAGCGCACATCTCAAATCGGCTTCTGTTATGATCTCGTCCAGATCCCTGCACTCGACCACTGTCAGCTGCTGGGATAGAGCTCTCACGTTCGCCTCCTCGCCAAGAGACTTTTCGACGTGCTCCTTAAAGGCTGAGCTCTTCATTCAAGCGTCATTCTTCAGCTCGAAGAGCATCTCGCCTTTCTGGGTGCGCCTTGTTCTCTCGTAGTTCCTTCAACTCGGGATCCTCTCTCACTTTCCGGCGGAGTGTTGCATACGTCATTTTGACCTTTGCTTTGACGATCATTTATCCCAATTTCTCTCCCGACGAGGCTTGTTCTTATTTTTTCCTTCTTCTTTTTCTCTGTCTTCTTGACGGTCTTATTATGGGCGGTCCGCCATCCACTGCCTTTCCTCGATTTACCTTCTCTTCTTTTTTTGTCTTCTTTTTTTCAGACTAAGTCTTCTTCTTCACCTGGTGTTTCGTGATCTCTTTTGCCCTTTGGTTTGCGGAGCCCCTTCGGTTTTGATTTTCGCTTCTTGTGAACGCGTTCCCCTATCCAGTTGTACTATCATTGTTATTTTTTTAGTTTTCTATTTTTTTCCGCTATCCTATCTGTTGGAGATTAGTTTAAGGGAATTCACGCGAAATTAACCACAGATTTTGGTAAATAGCATTTTAAATTCTGAAACTTCGAACAGTTGCTAAGATTTCATACTGTCAAAATAACTATGATCCCGACCTTAGAAAATTCTCCAAACGAGAAGTGATGACTCGCATGGCTCGATCCTTCGAATAAATGATGAGACTCCAAAGTATCTTAAACTAAGACTTTTTTATGATTCTCTATCCCGGGCTAAGGCAAATGACGTCGCTAAGTTAAGTGTTTCACCTCTGAAAATTAAAAGTCAGTTTGCATACATATGAAATTATTGAGCATAGTATATTAAAGCAAGGAAAAAAGTATATATAGGGGAATTGGCTCTAATGTTGGCCTATGGATCTAAGATTGGGCCCATTGCTTCGGTCAAAATAAATAAATAGTATAAAGATAATAATTTGGTGCACTTAACGCATTTCTTTTAATCGAGCATTTAAAAAACCTGAACAGCCCTCATCTTGTAGGTGTGTGCGTGCAGAATGATGCCTAAATTTTGATTTTGACATTTGCTCTTCAGTTATCAAAATGGCTTCCAAGCAAGAGCAGCAACGTATCAAAATTTCGCACGCGCATCGCGGAAATCCGAACTACTCGCACGCAAGGCAGACTTCAAACAGTTTCCTGGGCAGGAGTTTTATACGGCAACCGGAAGGTGGCAGACATTTTCAAGCAAATGAAGCTGTCGAAGTTCGCTAAGAAATATCTGGTTTGGCAGGCTATCTGTACCTGTGGCTTGAAAAGCAACATTTTCATTGCAATGCCAATGTTCCGTGTTGTTTTGGTGATTTGGCATCCTGCCATTACGGAAAAAAGGCCACGGAATGGTATGCCGCCAACAACGTGCAGGTGGTCCCCAAGGATAAGAACCGCCTAATCGAAAAATATTGGGCCATCGTCAAGCGAAACCTGAAGAAGACCTAAAAAACTGTTGGAAGCGAGAAGCAGTTTAAGGCAAACTGGCGTTCTGCGGCGAACAAAGGGGACGATAATTTGGTTTTTTTTAATAAAAAATTTGATCAATTTATACACATTCTTGTTTGACCAAATTTTGATCTTAACACCCTTTATACACGAATACATTTTGAGATTGTAACCAAATTCTCGATTATATCCCGGCTGGTTTCGATTCCCGGTTAATTCAAGGTTTTCCCGATTGAGTGGCCACCCTGAATCTCACGTATTCTTATTTAGGAAGGTGTACCAGATATGGCCATACGTTCCTATTATGGTGTGTTCCAATTATGACCTATGGAATTCCCATAGGCCATAATTGGAACACACCATAATAGGAACGTATAGCCAAAACCTTTTCAAAAATTATATTTGTTTCGATCTCCGACATCGAACAAAGGCCTAAATTCATACAATAAAATGCAGTTAAATGGATTGAACGGATCCAAACTTTACAATGTTATTAATACCAAACATTAATTGGACCACTAAAATTTATTTTCCATTCGTCAAAAAAGTGACAGTAGTGACTATTTTCACGAAAAAAGTTACTTTAGTGATTTTCAGTCCAAATGTGACCAACTTCCAGCCCTGCAGTGGGAAGTTTGTTATCCACCATACAAACTTGACCCTCACTAATGAAGATGTTAGTATCGAAGTTTGATACCAATTAGCGTAAATACCATACACTAGGTGGACTCTCTTTTTTGGTGCAAATTAGGTACACACTTAGAAATAACTAATTTTACACGTGACGAAATCCGTCTTTGACATAAAAGATGAGACGTAAACAAACATGTCATGTAATATTAAGTGCTCGGAGACTGAAAAGTTCGTTGCTCGACGAAAAGTACGTTTAATTGAGCTATATTTCGCGTCTGTTATGACTCAAATTTATGTCAAAATTGACGCTCGTATATGTCACTCTCAGAGCACCGAAATTTACATGATTTTTTCTTAGCGTGTATGATCTAACTGCTACGTACTATCGACAATACGTTATTTAACTAATAATCGTCATCATCATCAGGAACTCAGCCGATTCACTATATGCAACGATCGTACAAAGTACATAATCTCCGTCACAGTCGAGAGCAACTCGTCTCCATGGATCAGCTCTCGCACGGTGATTAGCAGTTTTGATGTAAATAGTACACACAAAAACGTGTATGTAAATGTATTATACAAATACAATGGTGATTATGATTATGACGAGGATGATGATGATGGAAACAAAATGTAATTTGTCAGCTTCCTCACCCTCTGAATATCAACGATAAGCATATTCATTATCGTTGAGTAGTAGGTACAAAGATTATGTCACGTGCTTTTTTTATACAATAATCTGTTATCTACTCCTTCTTTTTCTTTTTCTTCTTCTTCTCCTTCTTCATCTTCTTCTTCTCCGCATTTCAAGCTTATTGCTTGTCGCATATTAGCTTATTGCGTGCTCTCAACTTAGTGTTCTAGATGCACTTCCACAATTATTAAGCTTTCGATGCCTGTACCATTTTTGCATTGGTATAATTGTGTGGCAAGTACAATCACACTCTATGCCCAGCGAAGTCGAGAAAATTTTCCAACCCGAAAAATTCCTAAACCGGACCGGGAATCGAACCCAGTCACCTCCAGCATGGTCTTGCTTAGTATCTATGCCTTTACCGACTGAGCTAAGGGAGGTCTGTTATCTAGAAGACTACGATTTTTTTCTTCAAATGGCAGTAACACATAATGTAAATTACACCTACAAAAAACTTCCTTATATGCATAACCAAGTACTCAAGTAGGATACGCTGAAGTACATAGATGAATCAGAATGTTAAATTGATCATATTGCAATTAATTAAGAACTCATTTCTGAACCATAAGCAATCTTTTTTTCCCCTTGATTTGTTTACCGTCGATCTTGTTTTCCGTGCTGAGCACCAATGCTACCAACGTCAGGGAGGCACAGTTCCCACACCTGGACCCTACCTATCGACCCATCAACTCATGAACTGGGGACCAACGGCTTTACTTTCATTCCGAAGGAAGGCGTGATCAGAGATGTTATGCCTCAGAACATCCCGGTGGTGCCGACTGGGATTGAACCCAGGCCTGCTGGGGTGAGAGGTAATCACGCTTACCACTACACTACCGGCGCCGCTTACCATAAGCAATCTAAAAACAAACAATCTGTTTACCAATCACCTCCAATAGTGAACATGTAAATACCAGCTCGACCTAAACGGTATCGCTTGCAGACAGAACTCTAGAACAGATAACACAAATGATTTTTTAACATTTGTTGTCCCATCAAGATTTGCGTTTATCGAACAGTTTATTCGATACCATGTTGGAGCAAGGTTAACACAATCGTAGAGATAAGGCACGTAGTAACATATATACATACATACATATCAAATACCGACAAAAGGAGACGGCCAGCCAGTGCAAAAAAGGTAATCACTGTTTGCTTACATCACTCATCGTCCGTATCGGGCAAACGCGAATAAAAAATAAAAATTGCACACATAAAAACGATCACAGTAAATCTGCTATTCACGTCACGTCACGACACTATATCTAGATGAACATTTCAAAAGGTCCTATCTACATTGATCGGATCTTTTAATCGACTTTCTCTTTCGTTAATAACTCAGTAGCGAACACATTCTCTGCTTTGTTTGACGATTTGTGCACAATAACTTCATTTATCAAACTATGGCGAAAATAGCAAGAAATCTAGGTGGACATTTCAGAAGGTCCAATCTGCATCACTTCATCGACGTTCTCTTTCATTAATAACTCAGCTGCATAAACTTTCCCTGTTGTGTTTGAAGATGAAGAGAACCGCTCAAAGCAGATAGGGCATTTTGCAATGTTCATCTAGCCATTCATTCAAACATTTGATGCAGGACGGTGCACTACTCATACACGCCGCACGTTCTGTTTTTATTCGACACCTATGGATTATCGTTTCAAAACATCATATCCACACATGAGCTATACTATTTATTATTGCTATACTTCGGGCCCACCCCCGGGTAGCACTCATCTTCCGGTTGTGAAATCTTCATCTCTACGGTTAACATCTGCAAGCGCCACAGAGCGATGCGTTCGATTCGCATCACTAATCACCCCTTGCACGGCGTACGAACGCATCTCCCATCGATTCACTGTTGCACAACATATTTGAAACACCCATTCCTTTCTTAAGCAGGATCACTTTTAAAAAAATTGACAATTACCACTTCACTGCCAACAGCAGAAACACTACAATGCGCATATGCCGACTTCGGTGGATATCCCTCTCGATGACAGAGGACGGTAGCGTAGGACACGCGCGGATAGTGGAGAATCTCCGTACCTCCACTCGGCAGGGACAGACGACACCTTCTTCACACAACGCTGTACTGATGATGACTGAGGCTGACCATCTGAATGAAATGCTGGGCTGTGTGCCAGTCATTCAGCCAGTCTCGTCACAGCTTCACCACACTTCCCTTCTTGTTCCTCCGCCGCGTAGGGAAAAGCATGGTGTTGGCAGAAATAAGTGTGCGAATACAGTTAACATATGAATGGAAGCTTGTGTGGGATTGCGTATTTACGATTATCATGCCGGCCAGGCTGGTATTTGGGGCGTGTACAAATACGTCGCTTGTTGGTGTACCCATCGCGTTGGGGATGTAGGTGTTATGCTGTTTACTGTTAATAGGGGGGACATTGGAATTTTAAGTTGGGGAGACAACCAATTGAAAAAAAAAGTCAGCCAGACTGAGCAGTTATAACGGTTATAACATGTTATCATGTTGTTAGTAACCAGTACTGCAAAATCTTGACAATACACGGCAATATTCAAAATTCTGCTTTGGTCACTCATTTCAGTGCTAACATTTGAAAACGGCACAAAAGCCATTTGTAAACAAATGGTTTGTGGGCCCTTTACTCACTACTTGAAGTACACCCACGCGACACAACAGCAACATCGGGTAGGGGAAATTTTCCCCTTCCCGACGATGCTGTTGGTTTGCGTGGGCGTTCTTCGGGTAGCGAGTAAAGGGCCCACAAACCATTTGTTTACAAATGGCTTTTGTGCCGTTTTCAAATGTTAGCACTGATTTGAGCTAACAGTCATCGTAAAGGCAAGCCATGTCAGTTGTCAGTGACAATGCTGTCAGTGACAAACGTGTGCAGATTTTTTTATTGACTAAATTTAAAACAAAATTTAATTACTTGAGTAACACAATTAGATGGAGCCGTTAAAGTGAACAAACATCTACGTCCTGAATGCACGAAATTACATTTTTTTGTTACCAGATGAATCTTCGTCATTGACGAAAAATTAATGAGATTTTGACAATGGTTTTTTTAAGGAACAAGATTATCAGTGACTACCCCTCCCCTTGGTTAGTTTTTGCACCTTGTTGCTGGTCGGCGGGCTTAATTTCATGCTTTATAGTGGAGTGTTGGAGATAGAATGGCGCCATGGGCAGGCGATGGGGATTACTAAGCTTCCCCTCTCTGATGAACCACTGCATGAGAAAACCAAAGATCTAGTCTAGCAGTGATAGTATCACACTTGTTACTCCTTTGTTTGAGAGCCGCGTCGTAGTACGCTTACGTATAGGCACTGACGTAGGGTGCGATACTGGCAGGTTTTTCCGTAAATCACTCTTATTTTATTTATTTTCACGCAGATAGATTTATTTGGGTTTGCAGGAGAATGAATTATACTATTGAAATATTTCAGAAAGTGCCCAACAGTGCTCCTTCTATTTGCGTGACAAGCTTTCATTGTTGTTTTCATTGAGGTATTACTCAGGAAACAATGTTAAACACCATTTTTGTACATGGTATTGTAACTAATCCTATATGTGCTTCATTTTGATTTGGGATACGTGTTTGAACTATGGCTCGGGATTTCCACTGTGGCGTGCTTCTATTGTGAAATACTCATACGTATTTTAGTGTGCAAGCGTACATAGTGGAAGCGTGTGAGCATAGTTGGAGCATATACCCTATAAAATTTAAAAATCAGCTAGGGAACTAACTTCAAAATGAAGCATTTTAGTCACTTGAAGGTGTCACCTGGGTCTAACTAAGATATAATAAATATAGGTCAAAGTCAAAAGTACTTGAAACACGTTTAATTTTAGATTAAAAGCACAAGTGCAGGTACTTATCAAAGCATGGGTTATGATTGATTAGGTGAATTAGAGATTTCAATTATTTATTAAATTAGACCAATGAGATATCATAATCATCAAATGAACTTAAATGAGAAACTTCAGAAAGTCTAATAACATTAAGTAGATTAACAAAAGAATTAGGACGCGAGGGGTCCGCTTAGGGAAGCAACTAACCTTTAAAGTTGTAGAATAAATCTTCCTATTTAGTGTTAGCAACATTAAGCAGATTAACAAGGAGAGGAATAGTTTAGGAAATAAGTAAAAATAGAGGTATGTGACAATTGATAACTTTTAATATTTTGTAGGTATTGTTTTCCCCTGAGTTTATTGTACTCGATTACTATATTATTCTCTCAACACGCGAAATCTCTGATGTATGCAGTTAACTTATTTCTTAATGTTCATATACTTACATTTTCAAACAGCAGTAAATGTTAATCTATGAACTAACCCCTACGTGACTGTAAAATCGATCTTTCCTTATGTGGTATTGATGCATGTTAAACTTTTCGCGGCTGTCGGAATCAACGCGCCTACGTCTACGGAGCTTACGCTGAAGTTTTTCGCAATTCAGTAGAGCTTACCACAAGTTTTTTGAGCTTATGTAGTTTAAAATTTGTTCGGTACGGTCGCGAAATTTTGAAATGATTGATACGTGCGGTAAAATAACTAAATTGAAACAAAGCTCAATAGTAAAATAAGTAGAATATCTAGGGAGGAAACCAAAATTAATTAACTTGCCAACTTAGGCTATCACATTTATTTTGGTGGCCTTTTTTTCTCGCTTCTGTTGTCTCGCACGGCACTCGGAATTCGCGCGATTTTCGATAATTCGTTCGAAACGGATTTACTTATTCAATCGGTTTGCTACGCGGATGTATCTACGCGCACACGTCACAGCAGTTTTTCCATAACTATCTTGAAACAATACACACAGCAAAAAAATAATTTTGATATCACATCAAAGTGGATGCACTACAATCATGTCGAAAATTTCATGTAATTTTTATGACCACATAAATAAACAAATGCAGTAAAAGCAGCGTAATGTCAGTTCATGCATTGTATTAATGATAATTTTGTCCATTTTAGCAAGTAATATTACACTATATTTTCGACATGATTGTAGTGCATCCACTTTGACGTGATATCAAAATTATTTTTTTGCTGTGCACACGGAATCCAGTGTTCAAACTGTCAACATAGGCTAGTCCTTCTGCTGTATTGTCAAAGATAGAAGCGCTCTCTCAACCTATTTCACAAAAAAATGAGAAATGAGCTTACACTTTACTGAATGCATACAAACTATTTTTAAGGTTTTCAGGTTCAATTTGATTATATTTTTACCACTGAGAAAAAGAAATCTAGCAGGGTTTTCTTGAAATGAAACACACGCACTTCAAAACGCTGCTGATTTCGAGTTTCCGAAAGCACAGCTGTTTAACACGCAGCTCAAATAGAAAGGCTGCCGAATAAAAAGAGGTTGTCCACAATAGTCGCTCTCACTAGAGAATATTAGAGCTTTGTAAAAGCGTTTCAAAACAGTTTTTGACAATTATTTCGACTGAAATTGTTAGAGCAGCTGGCAGCAAAAGATTGTGAACAAACCAATACTGTATATGTGTGCGTTCCTTAGAGAAAAAGGCTATAGTAAGATGGTCGCTGCTTAGGTTGCCGACAATACGTAAATTCCCCTAGGTGAGTCATGTTTCGTCGGGAGTGATAATTTCATGTTATGAAATCCTTTCGCTGAACTTCTGCCACTCTGCTGTGTTTTCTTTTTCTTGGTGTTATGCTTTATGCAGCCCATGCAGATCAGCAAAAAATTGAGTTCAGTTCACTCATAAATTGCAAAAAATGCACGAACGATGAATAAATTTGCCTCATTTTTTCCTGTAGAAAACCTCAAATGTCTTCCGGAGAATGAAGAAAATTGACCATATCATATCCGGAATTTTTTTTTTCTGGAAAAGCTCAGGAAAATCTTTCTTAGCGTTGAGTTCCTGCACTTTTTGCGATTTATGAGTAAACTGAACTTAAATTTAGGTTGATCTAATCGGCTGTGTACACACTTCAACCTGGTTCCCTAATACAACAAATACCATACCCGAACGATAACACAAATGGTAGAACTATTCAACAAATGGTTTGGATGATACCCTTAACACGTCGTTAAGCAATATAACCATACAAATTTTATTAGGGTTGTCAACTTGATTCTTCGACCGGTTGTCGGATTTCCAAAATTTCGGCTATTCGACTTGTACGTCAACCTGTTGAGCGAACCATTTAATTTACACGCGGCTTTGATGCGACTTCTCCATGCAAACTGCAACCAAATTGATAAATTTAGGCTCCGCCCACCATAAATCAAACCGCTTTGATTTTACTTCAACCGATTCACCAACTGTAATTATTGCCTTGCAGCCACTCCACACACTATACAATCGAGCATCAACCCAATCTGGTTGTCAACCAGATTGCAGTGTGTATGGGGCCATTTAACGACAAATTCACAATGTTTGAAAAATAATTGCTCAACAATTTATCAATAGGTTTTAAATCTATTGATACCGAATAAATCTTTAAACTCTGTAGTTACAAATGGCGCCAATATATTTGAAATTCGTCAGTGCATTTCTGTGCTATGATATTTCAAACATTGCTAATTTGTCATACAACATTTTACCCGAGGCATACATTTAGGAGTAACTCCTGCATTATTATTGGTGGAAGTATACATTTAGGATGCATTTAATACACATCTATAAGGTTATCACTTTCTGTTACCCTTGTTTTACGTTACTCATAACAGAAATTCAAACATAGACGGCTTTTTATTAGTTTTTTTTCCTTGATTTGTTTTTCGTCGATCTTGTCTTCCGTGCTGAGCACCAATGCTACCGACGCCAGGAAGGCAGCTCCCACACCTGGACCCTACCTATCGATCCATCACAACACATGAACCGGGCACCAAAGGCTTTACTTCCCTGACGAAGGAAGGCGTGATCAGAGATGTTATGTCTCAGAACATCCCGGTGGCGCCGACTGGGATTGAACCCAGGCCTGCTGGGGTGAGTGGTAATCACGCTTACCACTACACCACCGGCGCACAGTGGTGCCAAGGGTATCAAAACATGCGCTTTTTTATTTACGCTGAAATTGATATTTGATTGATGTGATATTTCTAACATCTTTGTAGAACATGCCA